TATGGTCTTTTCAATCACTTGTTATGCATCTTAGAGTTGGACAATGACTAGGGAGGATAGAAGGAGAATTGATGCCTTTGAGCTGTGGTGCTGGAGAGGAGTATTGAATGTACCATGGACTGCCAAGAAAACAGATTCATCATGGAGAGGGTTAAACAAGGCTGCTCCTTGGAGGCAAGGATTCTGGGGCTTCATCTGACATACTTTGGACATGTTGTAAGGAGGGACAGATCCTTGGAGAGGGAAATCATGCTTGGAAGGGTGGAGGGAAAGTGCAGGAGAGGAAGGCCTCTATGGGGTGGATTGATTCAGTGATTGGGGTAATCGGGATGGGTGTGTCAGAGCAGTGCGATTGGCACAGGCTAGAGCAGGATTTAGGGCTGTTGTGCATAGGGTCACTATAAGTTGCAAGCGACTCAATGGCACATAACAACAACAACAACATGAACTATAACTCTCTAAATGCTGTCCTAATTTGAGCCCACCTCACTGTGTCTGACAAACCTGCTCTCATTACCACAGGCATTGATCTCATTCAGTGTCTTCTTCTCCTGTTCTGACACTTTACCCTTCCAACCATCACATCCTCCTCCAAGGACTGGTCCATTCTGGCCACATGCTCAAAATATGTGAGATGGAACTTCACAGTTCTTGTTCCCAAGAAACAACAAGGTTGCAATGTTGCTCATGGTTTCACTTTCTTCAGGACAGATGTATGTATATGTTTTCATCGTCGTCCATGGCATATTTAATACTCTTCTCTAGCACCACAACTCAAAGGCATCATTAAGTCTTCATCTGTCATCTTTAGTCATACCACTCTCAGATATAATAAGTCACTGAGAAGACCATGGAGTGGATCAGGCACATATTAGTCTCTAGAATCAGGTGCTCATTAGTCTCTAGACATTGTTGCTCTTTAGCACTCTGTAGAGGCCCCTGACAGCAGACTTTCCAAGAGCAACTCTTCTAGAGAGCATCTGGTGGCCTCGAACTGTATGCCTCTGGGATTGCAGCCCAGCTTCTTGGCACTAG